ACGCCGGGGCAGAGCCCTGGGTGGGGGCCCCGCCTCCCGCCGCCTTGCTTGGCGCGGTCCCGGGGTTGGCGGGAGACCCACAGCCGGGCCCCGGTGGGCTGGCGCAGGGCCTACTCCGCCCGCCTCCGCCTCGTGCGCTCGGCGCAGGGTCCCCGGGGGTGGCGGGAGACCTGAATATAAAAATTCTTAACAATCTGTTAGCCAGTTAAGCCCAACAATATATAAAAATGATAATTTGTTACAATGAAGTGGTTGTCACAATATGAATACAAGATTTGGTTAACATTTGAAAATCATTGGAATGTACCACTTTAAGACTTAGGAAGAAAAGCTGTATCTCTCAATATTAAATAAGCATTTGACAGAATTAAATAATTATTTTAGGTAAATTATTATATTAAGGTGACTTTTTCCCTTCGATTGGAAGCAAGACAAATATTTCTGTTCTCACTATTTCTGTTCAGCATTGTATGCGATGTCCTAGCCAGTGTAATAAGGCAAAAAAAAGAAGTAAAAGGCGGGGACCAGCAGTTAGCGTAATGGCTATGTCGCTGGACTCCCATGTAGTCGACCGTGGTTCGAGTCCCGGACTTGGTGGCTTAAACTCACACCGCGCGCTTGTGTGCGCGTGCCCAAGATCCCGAGAGGAGAATGGAGGAGAAGGGATTATGGCGTGGTCATCCCCTCTGGGGGGGGATTTCTCGCTTTCTGTCTCTCTGTCTCTCTCTGTCTTTCTGGCGAGCACACACGCCCAATAAGAAAAAACCTCTCCAAAAAAACCCAGAAGTTAAAAGGCATATAGATTAGGAAGGAAGAAGTAAAAGTATCTAAGGAATTTATATAATAACTTCTGAAACTGATTACAGTAGTCATTGTCAGTGTGTATAGAGCTCCCAGGTTGTTATAAAAACAGAATTACAGTTATTATTTATTTACTTTTTAATTTGCTCGAAGGGTGCATGTGCTCACCAGAGAGAAAAAAGAGAAGGAAAATGAGAAAGCATCCCCCACCAGGGAATAGCCACACCACAATCCCTTCTCCTACATTCCTCCTTCAGGATTTCATGCATACATACACAAGTGCCTGGTATGTTTTTCAAGCTGCCAGGTTTGGAACTCAAACCATGCAGTTAGCCATGTTGGTTCCAGCCACCTTGACCACCATATCACCGGGTGGCTCAACTGAATTTACTGAAGAGTAAATTTGTATGAAAAGTTTCAAGATTATCTTGATCACTTTAGAGGTTATAAATTGTACAGTTAAAATAAAATGAAAATGATTACCATAACATAGTGTTTATAATTCTTGAAATATTTAACCTACGTTAAAGCAGGGCTGTTATTATTAACCCCATTTTACAGGTCAAGAAGCGATGAATCAGAAATGACAAGAATGTGTCTGAGACCAAGCAGGTAGTCAGTAGGCCTGGAAATAGTCTTCTGACTTTAATTCTTTGAAGATTCACATTTTTCTTTGATCTTAGGTGCTCTCCTGTCTCAGGGGTGTTTGATCAATGACGTTGAACTGATCTCTGCCATTTTTATCATGATATTTTTGTGCTGTGAAAATGGAACTAAATTACTTTCACCCAGAGTTTACAGCCAAAGTCCTTACAAAGAGCTTAAAGCACCTCGCACGATCTCTTTCCCATCTTCCCTTCTCTTCTACTTCTCTATGTTCACATTTCTCCTGCCCCGCTAGGCTCCTTACTTTTCTTATCCTATGCCAGATGTGCTCCATCTCCTGAATCTGCTGTTCATCTGATTGGAAGTCCTTACCTCATGTAGTTTCTTCAAATCTTTGTGCAAATGTAATCGCTTCTATAAGACCTTCCATGACTCTCCTACTTAAAAGTGCAAACTGTCTCAAATTATACACACTTACCATCCCCTGTTCTTGCACTATTTTTCTGTTAGCATTTAGGACATAACTCTTCTAGTACCTTCAAAGTTATTTGAAAATGGCATGAGTAAAATTCCTACAGAAACCTGGCAGCAACCTCAGAAAAGCTTATCAACCTGGGAGTATGCTATCCCTAGCTCCTACCAAAGGCTTGTTAAATGAACCGGGACAAAGCAGCTGCTTTCTTTTTCTTTCTTTCTTTTTTTGGGGGGGAGAGGTTTTTGCTATAGGGCGCGTGTGCTTTCCAGAAAAAGAGAGACAGCTCCCAGGGGGGATGGCCACACCACAATCCCTTCTCCTCCATTCTCTCGGGATCTTGGGCACGCACGCACACGTGTCCAGAGTGAGTTTAAGCCACCGGGTCCAGGATTTGAACCGCAGTGGACTACATGGGAGTCTAGCGACATAGCCATTACGCTAACTGCTGGTTTCAGCAGCTACTTTCTTAACAGCGCTGTACAGTACATTCTACAATTTAGCATTCATCATGTGTTCTCTGATGCTTCTTGCAATGTTAGTTCTAGGGCCTGGTACACTAAGTATATGGCTCAATGAATGTTTATTGGGGCCAGCAGATGGTGTGGCGGTTAAAGGCACTGGACTCCCACATGGGCAACTGCGGTTTGAATCCTGGACCTGGTGGCTTGCTTTCTCACTTTCCCTTTCTCTTACTCAGTCTTTCTCTGATCCAACTGGAAAATGGTAATAATAAATAAAGTTAAATAAAAAAAATAATTCTTAAGAAGAAAGAAAGAACGCAGGAAGGAAATTCAGTTGATTAAACAAAATATTGTGGCTAATACTTGATTTTAATCAAGCAGTCGAACACTTAAAGTTCTTTTAACAAATAGCATGCATTTGTAAGGTAGAAATGTATTTTAATTCACTAGATATGTTTATCAATTAAAGTTTCTTTCAAATTGTTATGCATGGCAATTACATAAAATCTACTGACTTTTTTGAAAAAAAATGATTCTGTGTGTAAAATAGATATAAAAATATATACTTTGTGTATATATATTTTTTAAAGAATTATTTTAGCTTTATTTACTTCTTTATTTTAATTTGACCAGAGAGGTACAAAGCGAGAGAGAGACAGACAGACAGACAGGCAGGCAGAAAGCAAGAAAGCAAGCAGCCAGGTCCAGGGCTTGAACTACAGTCAGCCATGTGGAAGTCCAGCACTCTTAACCATCATGCCCCTGCTGTCCCTGTGTGTGTGTGCACGTGCATGTGTGTGCATGTGTGTGTGTAAGTGCATTCCTTTAATAAAGCAATTTAATGTTGACAGATATACCATCTGAGATCTAGTTTAAGTTTTTTTATTTATTTCTTTTATGAGTGGGAGAGCCAGAGAGAGAGAGTCCCCCCACAGGGTTCTGACCCCACAGTCCACCCCCAGCTTCAGCCAGTCTTGCGTCATGGGCACGTTTGCCTGGGGCGTTTAGGAACATCTGGACACAAGCCCAGAACCACGTGGGTCAGTCTTGCAGTGTTGTGCTTAACTGCTGTGCCGCCATCCAGCTCCCCCAGCTCTAATTTGAATTCCAATTTTTTGTAGAAATATTTTTTTCTATGAAACCACTCTTAGAAAATTACAAGCTTAATGTTGGTAGGGATTATCTCACACTGACTTTTTCAAAATTTAAGTGATGAAATATGTTTTTATTTTCTCATTTTAGAATGTTGTTAATTAGCTTTTTATGATGAGTTTTAATCCTGTATTTAATATTTGTGTTCACAGAGTGAACCAGGAATTTTCTTGATGAGCCTTTCTGCTTAACCATTTCTTTCTTTCTTTTTTTTTCCTTGTAGATTTGCTTTGGGGTCACATTGCTATGATGGAATCATCTTTGATAACTTCACCTGCGAGAATGAGAGACTTCTTTCTTATTAAAACACATAAGGAAAACCAGTGACCAGAAGAATCATGCAAATGCCATTGTATCATCAAGATGTATTTTTTAACCCATCAAGACAGATGATTTGTGCATTAAGGAAAATGATTTGTTCGTCATTATTTTTCACAGTTTTAAAAAAGTCTTTTTCATTTTAATCTATGTGTCTATCCTATAAAATTGAACTTATTTAAGAATCTTTAACACTTTGTTTGAAATAGTATTTTTTTAGCTCTCAGAAGGTCCGTGTTTACAAACCCTATTTTTACTTGCTTTAATAAAGTAGTTTAATAAAGTAATTTCTTAAAACAAGTAAAAGTTTAAAAATTTATAGCGTCCAGAAAGATATGGACCTGGAAAGTTCTGTTATTGTAACAAACTGCAGTGAATTTAAATGGATAATTGAAGACATCCATTTCCTCGTCAGAAATATCACATAAGTGTACAATTTTTAGATTTAATGCAAACAAAGTTGTTTGAAAATGGCATGGGTAAAATTCCTACGGAAACCTGGCGGCAACCTCGGAAAAGCTTATCAGCCTGGGAGTATGCTATCCCTAGCTCCTACCAAAGGCTTGTTAAATGAACCAGGACAAAACAGCTGCTTTCTTAACAGCGCTATACAGGTGAGACCATAATTAGTTGTTAAATTTTTTAAAATACTTTTAAGGAAATATCTTGTTAGTGCATCATTAACACTAAATTAAGAATGAAGTTACTATCAGCTGGAATGACTTTTTTTTCTTTTTTTGAGAGTTTTTTTTGTTTGTTTGTTTTTTTGCTATAGGGCATGTGTGCTCGGCATGTGTGCTCGCCAGAGAGACAGAGAGAGACAGAGAGAAAGCGAGAAATCACCCCCTTTGGGGATGGCCATGCTGCAATCTCTTCTCCTCCATTCTTCTCTTGGGATCTTGGGCATGCACGCACACACGCACACGCATCCAGCGTGAGTTTAAGCCACCCAGTCCAGGACTCGAACCGCAGACAACTACATGGGAGTTCAGCGACATAACCATTATGCCACCTGTTGATCCCTCCAGCTGGAATGACTTTTAACATCCCTTTTAATGTGAACAAAAATATTTTGGTTGAGTGTTTGATTTTTCTAATAAACAGATATGGTTTTCTCGATATAATGATGTATTACTATGATTTATATAAAACCCTTTGATATAAAATGTTTAGTAAATTAGAATGTTTCTGTAATACTTAAAATTTTTATTTAATCAGCTAACATTTCCTCTCCTTTTTGAAAAATGAAAAAAAGTCCAGCATCTGTTCCAATAGACAGGATAAAAAGAAACAAGCTGCTTTGGTTAAAATGTGAATGCAGTTTTTGATCTCATACTCAAAACTCCCTTTACTTCCCACTGTGACCCTTAATTCACCTCTCAAGAATCCTAATTTTGGCACCTCTGTTTTGACTAAATTGAGAGTTAATCCATTTTGCTTTAATCCTTTTCAAAATTCTTTAATTAACAAATGTGTATTAACCCACTTTTCTGTCTTAGGTAAATACCCTTTCTTTTTATTTTTTCAATTGTCAGAGGGCTTGTTTGCTCACCAGAAAGATGCAAAAAGAGAGAGAGGGAAAAAGCATCCCACAATGGGAGATGATCACTCCATGAGCCCCTCTGTTTTTCCAGGATTTGGGGCATACATGCCATGTACCTGGCATGTTTGTCAAGCCATCAGAACCAGGATTTGAACTGCAGTCAGCCATATGGGATCTCACTCTCTTGACCAGTAGGATATGAGAACTTTATTTTGAACTGGGGATAATGTATTTGGAAATGGTTTGATAATTTACTTTTAAGCTTTGTTAGGCAAGACATAGCTGCTATGTTTTTCAGCCAACTCTTTCAGCGTGAAGTGTTCCACTTGGGCTGTTAGGAAAAAGGAACTATCTAAAACGTGAGCTTTGAGCACTATTCCTTCTAATCATTTTGGGTATTTCTTCCCCTGGCCTTAGGTAGTTTTCTCATAATACTCACCTGAACATTTGTGGGGGGCCCTGTACAGATACTTGGGATTAAGTCTCTGTGCAGCTCTTTCCTCCAGAGCAGCACTGGCGCCCCTACCAGGTTTGTCTCCCCAGTTCATGCTGGCATCTGTGGTTAAGATGTCTGCCATATAAACTTACTAGCAAAGCCAGCCCCTACTGACAAAACAACTATTCAGATAGACTTTCTGTCAGAAAAAAACTTGAGTTCTTTCTTAAAATTCAACATTAATATGAAATTTGATGAATTTTTTTTTTGAGAGGCTTTTACCTCAGAAGGACAAAGAGAGACAGAAAGACAGAAAGCAAGAAATCACCTTCCAAGGGGGATGGTCATGCCCAGCATGATTTTAAGCCACTGGAACCGGGACTCGAACCACAGTCGGCTACATGGGAGTCCAGTGACATAGGCCATCTGCTGGTCTCGTTTGATGAATACTTTTAAAAGCTGATGAGAAATAGTTGTGGAATACATCTTGTTGGAAATTACTAAAAGTAGGTATTAATAAAATGGACAAAAAATAATTCATGTCATTTGTCATTACACAATTTTTATCTTACTGTATCATTTTGAAGAGAGTATGATGAAAGGCTTATATTTCTTTATTAAATGTGTATGCATAGATGAATCAATCCTTTGGGAATAAATAGTATAAATGTTTAATGCTACATTAATTTCATTAGGCATCACTAACACTGCTGGATAGAAATAGTACAAAAGAAAAAGTGTATATTGCAGAAAACTAAACCAACTAGCTTACGCTTTAATTTTTAAAAATTATTTTAGTTAACTTTATTTATCCATTTATTTATTTATTTCAATTTGACCAGAGAGGGACAGAGTGAGAGAGAGAAGGAGAAAAAAAGAAAGCAAGGCACTGGGTCCAGGACCCAAATCACATTTGACCATGTGGGAGTCCAGCACCCTTAACCACCACACCACCTGCCAGTGCCTACACTTAGTTTTAAAAAGTAGGTTGTAAAATGTAATTAACATTTAAAAATTAAATAAAAATAAGGATTGATAGTTATTCTGTGATAGAGATTGGTTAAAATAGGCATTATACTATTGTGTTGAATGATGCATAGAGCACTTTAAAGAAATCATATATTGACAACCCTTGGAATGGGAGAAAATATTTGCAAATTAATCCTTAGACAGGGGATTGATAATCAGAGTATATAGGGAACTCAGGCAGCTCACCCACAAAAAAAATTAATAATCCAATTAAGAAATGGGCAAATGAGGATGTGGTGAAAAGGGAACCTGCTTACCCTGTAGATGGCAATGCAAATTAGTACAACTAATGGAAAATAATATGGAGGTTCCTGAAAAAAACTAACAGTAGAGGAGACCAGCCAGGTGGCGTGGAGGTTAAGGTGGCTGCCAACGATGAACCCACGTTGGCCAACTGTGTGGTTTGAGTCTCATGGTACACCATGTGGCAGAGCAGTGCCTTAACCACCACACCACTTTTAGGCCCTGGGAAGTACTACCTTTGCCCCCATTTTACTTATGAGAAAACTGAATCTCAGAAAATATTTTGCCCAGGTAGGTCCACAAGCTGGTGATCAGTAAAGCCAGAATTAGGCCCGGGCCGACTGCCTTCAAATGTTGTGTCATAAACCACAGTGCAGCCTGCATCCAGAGCTTAGCTGTAACTGATCTTCATCTTTGTTGGTAAAATAAGTTTCTGTGTAGTATTTTTTTATGATATGGTAAGATATGATAAGCAAGAAAGTTAAACATTATCAAATGCCTTGCAGAACACTAATTTGTTTGTGGTAAAGGGATCTCATTAGTTATGCTTAAGACAAAGCAACGGGAAGTTCTGGAATAGCCTTTAGTTTTTGAGTAGTTGAAAACATAGGAAACTTATCAGTTTCTTCATACTAACCTTTGTTTTCAGTCGTGAGAAACAAGAAATCATGAATGGACTTTCTCAGTAATACTCTTTGAGAAGATGACTAAAATCTTCTGTCTGTATGGAAACTTGGAAGATCCTGTTTGTTTTAATAGTAATAACAGCCACGATTAGCAGCTGGTAGTCACTGCATGCCGTTTATATGCCAGGCCCTGTTCTTCCTAAGAGCTCTATGAGGTGGACACTCTTATTATCCTCATGGTACAGAATTCAGGTTTTTCAGAATGATTTTAAGTACTGAACTGATTTATTTTGACAATTGTAGTCTTGTTTTGTTTGCTTCGTCTTTCTCTTTTGGTAGCAGATGGTAAATGGATAATTGCAGCAAACATATTGAGGTTAGTCTTTAAGTGCTGCTGCTTAGCATGCCATTCCTCCGTCACAACACAGATACCCCTCTCGTCATTGGGTGTAGGAGGACCACACATACCCATGCTCACCTTTGCTTCTTGCTCCAACTTGCTGACCCCTGTTTTGTACACCTTGGCTTTAAAGTGTAATTATATTTCCTCCCTAGATTGCAGTTTGTTCCAAGTATTATAATCACTTCCTTTTCTATGTCTCTGCCAAGTGCTCCATTTAGTATCCCATGTCTTCTATTCAAATCAAATCTGTAACCAAGGAGTTTGTTTTTCCTTGCTCTATGACTTTCTTCCTTTTTGTGAATAAAAAAAAACCTATATTTTTATAAAAAGTATTATTTTATTTATCATTATTATTACTTTCTAATTTTGCTGTGGGGTATGCATACTCACCAAAGAGAGAGAGAAAGAAAGTGAGAAAGTGAGCAACCAGGTCCAGGATTTGAACCACGGTTGGCCATGTGGGAGTCCAGTGCCTTAACCACCATGCCACCTGTTGGCCTCAATAATAGTATCTTTTAAATCCATTTTATCCACAGCCTCTATGTAGTAGTTTTATACTTGTTGTAATTTTTAGTGGCTGTGCATGTCTGATTATATACAGGAGGCTTAAGAAGTTACTAACCTTTTATAATTTAAAAAATATCTAAATCTATCTTTTATTATAGAACAACCTCACTGTGTTTCTTTTTCTTTCACCTCTCTCTGTTTTTTAGGTTTTATGGCAACTGGATATATTTCGACGAAGCTTACGAGTACTGACAGGACATGTTTGTCAGGGAGATGCCTGCATATTTTGTGCATTAAAGGTAATCTTTAAATCATTCTGAAAAAGTACTGCCAATTTTTTTTCTCTAAATCTTTCATTTTGACATATTTAGTGAATTTGTAATTAAAGTTTATTGTCAAGTGATTTATAGTTTTGAAGATGAATTCTTGAAGTATGACTTATTCAGGTTTATGTCTTCATTTTCCACTTTTATATAAGGAAGGCCATATAGTATAAACATGTTAGAACAAAACAGTTTCCATTATTTTGAAATAATTCTTTTGTCATTTTTACAAATGTGTTTGAGTGACTGCTGAGTTCTGGTTACTGCCATAGTTATGAGTTTGGGGCACTGAACACCGATACAATCTCTGTTCTCATGGAGCACATTATATTCTAAGAGGGGAGGAGACACTAAGTTAGCAAAATATTAAGTATGTTAGAAGGTAATAATTGCTATGAAGGAAAACGAAATCAGGGAAAAGAACACAAAGTGTTGAGTGGCCAAGAGAACCTCACTGAGAAAGTGACATTTGTATCCAGACTTGTGTTTACATACTCCTTATTCTTTTTTTCTTTTCTTTTCTTTTTTTTTTTTTTGAGAGGTTCTTGCTATAGGGCACGTGCGCTCGCCAGAAAGACAGAGATAGAGAGGCAGAAAGCGAGAAATCACCCCCCAGGTGGGATGGCCATGCCACAATCCCTTCTCCTCCATTCTCCTCTTGGGATCTTGGGCATGCACGCACACGCGCCCGGCGTGAGTTTTAAGCCACCGGGTCCAGGACGCAAACCACGGTCGACTACATAGGAGTCCAGCGACATAGCCATTATGCTAACTGCTGGTCCCAACATACTTTAATTTCTTTATGATCCTGAAAAGACTGTTTCAATAAATTACCAAAGGAGGGAATTTTATATTCTCAGTTTTAGAACATGGCAAAATACAATTATTGTTGGATTATTGTATGGGATGAAGAGTAAATCTAGATCCAATTTCAATATCATATTTTATTTATGCCACAGTAGATTTTTGCTATAGAGTGTGTGTACCTGCCAGAGAGACAGAAAGGAGAAATCACCCCCTGTTGGGGGGGTGGGGGACGTGGCCATGCCACAATCCCTTCTCCTCCATTCCCCTCTCAGGATTTTAGATACACGTGCACATGCACCCGGTGTGAGTTTTAAGCCACTGGGTCCAGGACTCGAACCATGATCAACTACATGAGAGTCCTCGATGTAACCATTGTGCCATCTGCTGGTCCCCCATGGTAAATTTTGAATATTTTGTTCAATTGTAAGAACTAGTCTTTTTCAGTTTCCTAGGCCAGCTCTCCAACCCCTGCACAATTACCTACCTCTTTCCCCTGTTCCCTACAGCCTTAAAAAAACTCCACACATACGTGATTATACTTCAGCCAAACTGGTCCCCATTTCTCTGAACTGGTGCCCATCCCTGAGCCTTTTCATTGTTACTTCTTTTGTCTGAAATGCTTTCCTTTCAGATGTCCTTGTGGGTAACACCCTTCTTCCCTTTAAGCCTCTCCTTAAGTGTTATTTTTCCCTTCAGTGAGGCCTTCCCTGAGTACTCTAGGTAAAAGGTAAGCTGCTTCCCTCTGTCCTGCCCTGGGATTCCTGTCCCCATTATACTGGTTGGCTTTTCTCTCTTGTATTGTATTCTTTATTATTCTCTATTCTTATTTATGCACCTTCTTGTCACAACAACTAGAATATAAGTAAGCTCCATAGATGCAGAGTTTTATACATACTATATAAGCAAAAATATAGGTAAAATAAATGACATATTAATATTTTAAGCATTACTTGGAAAAGCTAATTACCTAACAGATGAAATTCGAGAAGTATTTTTTTATTTTTTAGTATTTTAATTTTAGCTATTTAATGGCTAAAATAATTACAGTTCTTGGTGTCTAATATCATTTGACATCTTTATTTTTTAATACCTTATTTTTATTTTTAAATCAAAGATATTTGTTTTGTTTTGTTTTGTTCCTTTACAGGGTGGAACAGATTTGGAAATGTTTTCCTAGCCTACCATTTGTGGACCTTAAAAAATTGTTTTTGAGATGACGTGACACCCTGAGCTAGTGTAGAACTGAATATCACCAATTCTTATTTGGCAGATTGTCACTAAAAATCTTTTTTTTCCACTTAAGTTTACTATCATAATATGGGAACATATTTAAACATTTTTCTTGTTTAAATTCAATAAAGAAAATAGAAGATTAGATGAACACCTATAGTATTGTGTTTTTAAATGATGTTTCCATGGTTTCTTTGGCTTAGGTTAGAAACAGTTCTGTAAGTGAGGAAAATTGATAATCAAGGGAGGAGAACTCTTCTTTAAAAATTAAAAGTGATTGTTACCTTTATCTCTGATTTTTACAAGATGTACAATTTTTTTTTTGCCTTTTTTTTTTTTTTAAATTTTTGCCATAGGGTTCATGCGCTTGCTAGAGAGAGAGCGAGTGAGAGAAGGAATGTGAGGTATTACTCCCTAGGGGGAATGGCTGTGCCACTGTCCCGTCGTCTCCACTCTCCTCTTGGGCTTGTGGGTATCCACACATATTTGCCAAGTATAACTTTTCAAGCGCCAGGTGTGATTTTGAAGCCACTAAGTCTGGGACTCGAACTACGGTCATCCATGTGGGAATCCAGCGCCTTTCACCACCATGCCCTACTGATCCCTATGTTTGCATTTTTAAAAACAAGTTTAGCATATTAGTGGTGGGAAATTGTTATTTTATTGAAATTGCCTAATTTTTGATGGTTTTAAAATGAACTTGTCATTTTTAGAGGTTTACTTAAGACCCTAGCAAAAGGAACAAAAAATTTAAAAGTTCCTTTAGGTTACTTTAACTTGAAGAAAAAAAAAGTGAGTTTCCACTCATTTTTCTGCAATTAGGTTTCTTTTATTTGTTAATTGCCGGAGAGCCCATATACTCGTCAGACAAATGGTAGAGAAAGAAAGCACTCCGGAGTGGGGTACAGTCATCTATACCCTTTCCTCCATTTCTTCTCATCAGGAGTTTGGGTACACACCCACGTGATGGCATGTCATTCACATTGTCAGGGCTGGGATTCGTACTGCGGTTGGCCAGGTGGCCTCCAGCTCATCACACACAGCGCTTAGTCACTGTACTACAGGATCAGCCCTGTGGTTTTGCTTATTTCTGGTTAGCAGAATTTTAATTTCTATGGTATATTTTTAGTTTTTGCTGATACACATAATTAATTTTCATTTCGTTTGGAATTTTAGAGTAAATGACCCTGAGTTTGTGAGTATATTGCTGTGAGGTTCTCTACGTTGGAACAAAACTATAAATGTTTTTAAAGTTGTTGGCGTTAAACTTACCAGTGTACTTGTTGACTCCCAGACGATGTTTGCACAGTTTCAACACAGTCGAGAGAAAGCACTTCCCTCAGATAACATAAGGCACGCGCTGGCAGAAAGCTTCAAAGACGAGCAGCGCTTTCAACTTGGCCTCATGGACGATGCTGCAGAGTGCTTTGTAAGTGTTTCCTGAGAAGTCAGAATAGTGTGTTTCATTCCCTAGATGGTGCACATTTTGAGACAAATATACTAAAAATTTCTAACAATGGAAAAATCAGAACAGGTCAGTGGATCCACATCACACCCATCTCTCAAGGCTCAATTTAAATTCGTCTGAGTTTTGTGTTCTATTTGGGGCTTTGATTATTTTGGCCGCTCTCATTTTTACTGATTGTTAGGCCACTAAAATAGTTTTATGTTGGTTATTGGAAGCTGGGCATGATGGTGCACACCTGTAGTTCCAGCTGCTGGGGAGGCTGGGATAGGAGGATTACAAGTTTGAGGCCAGTTGGGGCAATAGAGTGAGACCCAGTTTTTTGTTTGTTTGTTTGCTCTTTACGGAAAAAAAGTATTTCTGGAGTACAAAGCTTTGCTAAATGTAGCACATTACTTAAGCTGGTGTGCTTCTTCCACAGGGTTTACAAGTGCAACATATTTTTAGCAAAAGTATTTCTCATTATATGCAATGATTCCCATTGGGACGAAAGGGAGTCTTGGGTGGGCAATTATTAGGCAATGGTTCTGGTAGGTACCGCACTTTGGGTGGAGCGTCACTGAGGTTGATGTTCTGAGGCTCTGCGTTACCACCATATTAGTAAGTAGGAATCCCTTTGATTGGGAATGCAGGAATACCGGATATACCTTCTAAAATATGTGTGTGGATTATTAAAGATGCCAGTAACAGAATGGTCACCTGCATTTGAGATGTAACCATTTCTTTTCTCTTGGTTCCGTTTCTATCCATCTTTTTATTGAAACTGTCTAATAAAATATTTTCTGCTCCAAACCCTCCCCCCTACTTTTTTTTTTTTTTTAAACTTTTTGCTATAAGGTATATGATGTGCTAGCCAGAGGGGGGGAAAGTGAGAAATCACCCCTAAGGGCAGCCCATTCTCCTCTTGGGATTTTGGGCACATATGAATGTACGCACACACATGTGACTGATGTAATTTTCAACCTGCTGTGTCTGGGACTCAAACCACTGAGTCAGGGTATGTGGTATCCAGCCACGCTTGCCTTCACACCACCTGCTGGTTTTCGTCGCAAACCCTTGTAAAGGTTTTCTTTTCATGTTATCTTCCTACTACTGCTTTTTCCTAGTTCAGGTTATAGTTTACTCTCAGCATTATTTGCTCATGAGCAAAATACTTGTTCCATACCTTGAATTTATGAAGAATTTACTACCTGAAAAATTCATTTGCCAGTTTTTTGTCATTAATTTAGAAAAAAAGCATCTTTACTGTTTTTTTTAGAAAGATGGAAAATTGCCTACCACACTTCTCTGTTGATTAAAATGACTCAGTGATACTGCTTTGTGTAATAATGAAATATACGTCCACTTTTCTACATTTCCATAGGGACTACTGCTAAACACATATTTGGCATAAATGCTGAGCTTTATAGTTTTATTTTCACTTAAATGAACTGTAATGGTATATGATATAATAATTCACAAAATGTCTAGAAATCCAGGCTTAAATAATTGAATGGCTTTAAATGTCCTGGGGCAAAGGAAGGGAAGTTAGCTAATTAAAAGAATTCATTGGTTAGAAAAACAAACAAACAAAAAAAAAACAGACAAAAAAGGAAAGGAAAAAAGAAATAAGAATTCATTGGTTAAGTTTTGGTAACTAAAGAAAGATTATTCTCTTAAAGAAATAAATACCCTTTATTGATCTGTATTCTCAATCTGAACTTTCATTTGAAATTTAAGGGCACATTGGATTAGTACAACTGTTAAACCAATTTTATTGATATTTTGATGTAAGTTAGATAGACTATCTAGATAATCCAAGTAGGAGTTTTTATTTTATTTATTTTATTAATGATATTTTTGCTGTATGTCACATGTGCTCGCTGGAGAGAAAGAGAGAGACTGAAAGCGAGAAATCACCCCCCAGAGGGGATGACCATGCCGCAGTCCCTTTTCCATTCTCCTCTTAGGATTGTGGATACTCACACACACCTGTCTGGTGTGTTTCAAGCTGCTGGGTCTGGGACTTGAACTGCAGATGACTACATGGGAGTCCAGCAGTATAACCATTATGCCATCTGCTGGTCACCCTAGTAGGAGTTTTTGTTTGTTTGTTTGTTTTTGAGAGATTTTTGCTATAGGGTGCGTGCACTCGCCAGACAGACAGACAGAAAGCGAGAAATCACCCCCCAGAGAGGATGGTCACGCCGCAATCCCTTCTTCTCCATTCTCCTCTTGGGATCTTGGGCATGCACGCACACGTGCCCGGCGTGAGTTTTAAGCCACCGGTCCGGGACGCGAACCGCGGTCGACTACGTGGGAGTCCAGCGACATAGCCATTACACTAACTGCTGGTTCCCACCCTAGTAGGAGTTTTTAAAAGTTACCTGATTTTTCTCAATATGAGAATGCTGGGAACATGGAAACTTTTTTTTTTTCATTAAAGTCTAGGTATCAGTCACAACAGACTGATTTTTTTAAAAGAATTGAACAATTCTTTTATTAAAAATTGTTTCTGTCATGAAACAAAACAAAAAAGTAAGCTAGTGCAACAAAAGGTGAATAGTTAAACAACATTTGAACTGTTCGGGAAGAAAGCTGAAAACTTGACTGTATGTATGATACTCCTAAATTTAAATTTTCACTTAGAAAAGTTATATTCTGGGGCAAAGCATGAGTACAGAATTAGCATAGCTGGGTCTATGTGGGAGAATCCCTAGGTTCGCATCCCAGGGCCTCCCTCCCTGAGCACGACAGGCAGGCCTACGCATGTCCATGATCCAGGTCTGCTGGGACTAAGGGTGGATTGCAGCCTGGAGACCCTGTTGAGATGCCTCTCTTGTCTCTCATGGGAGAGATAAGTGAACGAACTTTAAAAAAAAAAAAATACTTTAAAGTATTCCCTGTATGATCAGCAACTCACTTGCCTTTTTTATTTTTAACTTAGGAAAATATATTAGAGAGGATTCACTTTCACATCGTGCCAAGCAGAGATGCAGACATGTGTACCTCTAAGTCTTGTATCACTCACCAGAAGTTTGCTATGACCCTGTACGAACAGGTGAGATGGTTTAATTCTTTATGAGACAGTACACCTGAATTTTATGATTGAAAGATTAAACATGTGTTTTTGCCTGTAGTGTGTGTGTCGTAGCTGTGGAGCGTCATCAGATCCTCTACCTTTTACAGAATTTGTGCGGTACATTTCTACAACAGCCCTATGGTAAGACCCTATTCAAGCAAATTTACCAGCGATGTTAATAGCACATGAAAGCACAGCGAGCATTTATTCTGTAAAGCTCTAAGCTGTGTGAATGCCCCCCTCTCTGTCTGAGGCTAAAAATATACAACTATTAGAGGTACTCAGCAATGACTATCTCAGCTCGATGTTTGTAATTTAACCTAATGTATGTATCACCTAACAAAAAGTACAGAATAATATAAATTAAAATGAGAAACTCATTGAAACAGAACTACACATGGTTTCTTTGCTTTTGGTGGGAGGTTCCCTTCATTGTGGCCATATTTCCTGCCAGCTCATCTGTGTTCCTTTGGGGGGATAAAAGATAGAGTAAGCAGGAAAGAAAGAAAGATGTGAAGAGAATCTTCAGGTAGGTTGTCACATCTGAGGTCTCGGGATTCACCTTATGTAACAATGTGCCATACTCGTTTGGCCGCCTGTCCTCCCTCCGTTCCCCCATTCCTTCCTGTTTATGAAACATTAGTGAGAGATCCAAAAATGATCCCTAGACTTTGCCTAATAAAGATCGTTTGAATGCTTTCCTACAGTTTTCGAGAATATAAATATTTGATATGGGATTACCATTGAATGAGATCATAAATGTGTGCAGAAATTTTAATACTGGAAACAACCTCCATCAACAATTCTCAATCAGGATATAACAGTGCAACTTTAGTTGATGAAAACTACCATTACTTTGTCATTGCAAACTGAAATCATGTGTTTATCCATTTCATATGGTTCAACTTCCTGACTTTCTTAGAGAATAATTCAGTATTTCATAAAGACTTTTGAATAGTATTTGGTTATCTTGTTGTTTAGAATCTTTCCTATGTATACAGAGTTGGGAAACAGTCCCTAAACTTCAGTCAGTTGTAGGCTCATTTTTAAAAAATTTGTATGAAAACTAGGGTGATGTGTGAACACAGATAGATGTAAATTAAAAACTAGAATTTTAGCTCTACTTCAAAATGCTTATATAAAATGACAGCATTCTGGGTAACAGCTTGGATAATTAGAACTAGATCCCCTTCCATCTCTGCCTGTTTCACACTGGAAGTTGCAGGACCCCAGACTTTGAATTCTAATTATAATATCACCTTTTATATTGGCAATAAGTATTGCATATCCATTGCTGAATACCCACTATATTTCAGGTTTTATGTAAATTGTTGCTTTTAATCCTAACAAAAGCACTATTTTAATGATGAAGAACTAGGTTTGATGAGGTTAATTTGGTTAAGTAGATGGATGATGATTGAAACTCAGATATGTCTGACTTAAGAATTTGTCTGATTAGCCACTACTCTGATGCTGTGAATTTGTAAAACCAGTTTGTACTATTTGAATTTGAATGAGCTCATCAGATTTAGTTTGTTCTATTTAGTAATCGCTTTGTAAAGTGTTTTGAGAGGGTACCTTAGTTGTGATCAAATACTTGTGTATTGTTTAAACTATTGAAGTGTAAAATACATCTAGCTGTAGGATACTTATATCACTATTAAGTAGAATCAGAGCACCTAGAATGTACAGTATTCCTAGTTAGGGTGGTTCAGCTTACATGACCTTCCTGTTTGGGAATGTTTAAATAGTTGTTTAAAAGTACTTAATATCCTGATATGCAAAAATGGGACTCTTAGGGAAACTGAATAAAAATTGGTGCTGTTACTATATAGTACATTAGAAGGTTTTAATAAAATTCTTAGTATTCATAAACAGGAGTAATATTCACAAGTCTGGCTCAACAAACTTTGGTTGTGACTTTTGCATTTAATCAGCAAAAGGCCTTCTCCTCGCTGAAATTGACAACTTTGTCTCTGGGAACTTTGGTCCAGAGAGGGAGAGATCCTATAATTTCGTTGTTCTTAGTAGGGAAGAGCATACACTCATGTCCCTATTTGTTATGTAATAGCATAAAAGAAACATTTGCCTCAGAACCACCTCCAGACAAAACTGTTTTACCCTTATTCTGTACTTGGCCTAATCTTTTTCATCATATTCTAGCCAAACTTAGTTTTTTACTTTATGGGAATTTACTTTACAGTTAATTTTACAACTCCAGTCATGTTTTAGACAGAAAAAGTGATGCACACCTATTCTGACAACTTAATAGTCTTCATGTGTAATTAATTAGATCCATTTTAAGTTCATAGGCCAAATCTGGGACTGCTGCTTCTTCTTTTTCTTTCTTTTTTTTTTTTTTTGTAGCAATGAGGTTGAAAGAATGATGGAAAGGCATGAACGTTGTAAGCCTGAATTGTTTGCAGAACTGCTACAAGCAGCAAATACAACAGATGACTACAGAAAGTGTCCTGTAAGTATAGCTTGGAGAATACTGGTATGTTTTTATGTTTTAAGTTTGAAAATTGACAGAGACAGTATAAATATTAACTCCATATGTAGAATTAACTTGAAAAAATTATTTTTTCAGTGTTTCAGATAACTTTCTATAATGCAAGATATTTATCTTAGCACTAGTTTGTTTTTTTTTGAGAGGTTTTCACTATAGGACGCGTGCGCTCGCCAGACAGACAGAGAGACAGAGAGAGACATAGAGACAGAAAGCGAGAAATCACCCCCCAGGGGGGTTGGTCATGCTGCAATCCCTTCTCCTCCATTCTTCTCTCGGGATCTTGGGCATGCACGCACATGTGCCCGGCGTGAGTTTTAAGCCACCGGGTCTGGGACGCGAACCGTGGTTGACTACATGGGAGTCCAGCGACATAGCCATTACACTAACTGCTGGTTCCCAGCACTAGTTTTTAAAAACACTTTATCAAAGATTTAAAGTAGCTTTTTTTTTTTTTTTGCCTTAGGGCATGTGTGCTCACTAGAGAGACAGAAGGAAAATGAGAAATCGCCCCCACCCCAGGGGGATGGTCACAGCCACAATCCCTCCTTCTCTTTTCTCTTCTTGGAATTTTGGGCACGCACACACATGGCATGATTTTTCAAGCCACCTGGTCTGGACTCGAACGGCAGTTGGCCATGTGGAAGTTCAACATCCTAATCACTATGCCACCTGCTGGTGCATATTTTTAAATTTCCAGAAGGCATGTGAACTCACCAGAGAGAGAGAGCACCCCCTAATGAGGCATGTTCACACCACAGTTTTTTCCCTCTGTTTCTCTATACCATCAAGATTTGGAGTATGCTTTTTCACTTGTGTCAGGCATGTTTTTCAAGCTACTGGGGCCAGGATTACAACTGGGCGTGGCCATGTGAGATCTGGCTCCCAGTACACATTGCCTCATGGCTGTGTTATGGGGCTGGTCCAGGTAGCTTCTGATATATTTTTTTTAAAGTTCTGAAATTTATCATTAGGTAAAAAGGAAGTATTTTTGTGTGTTTCTTTTTTTTTTTTTAAGTTAACATGTTAAATGATATTCTTTTCTTATATACTATTGCTAATGACTTCAGGGATTTTACTTCTGCTTTTTTTTTAGATTGAATCTTTTTTTTAAGAGAGATTTTTGCTATAGGGCTTGTGTGCATGCTAGAGAGACAGACAGAAAGTGACAAATCTTCCCCTCCCCGGTAGTGATGGCCATGCCACAATCTCTTCTCCTCCATTCTCTTCTCTGGATTTTGGGTATGCACGTACACAGGCCCAGTGTGAGTTTTAAGCAGCCAGGTCTAGGACTTGAACTGCAGTCAACGCTATGGGAGTCAATGACGTACATAACCACTATACCGTCTGCTGGTTCCAGACTCAATTTCTATTTTAATAAATTCACAAAAATACCAGAGAATAGTTTGATTTAAAATAAACTTGTTTAAACAATTGTAGATACTTGGTAGAAGTAAATTTCTGATATAGTGAAGAAATTTCAGATAAATATTAAGATTGTTATGGTGTAATACAAACTATATGAGGCTTTGTCTGTGGAGTATGTTCTTATAATTTCAAAAGTTGCCTTTTGTTTTTCTTCTGTAGAGCAACTGTGGCCAAAAAATAAAAATTCGCCGTGTTTTAATGAATTGCCCAGAGATTGTTACAATTGGTTTGGTCTGGGATTCTGAGCATTCTGACTTGACCGAAGATGTCGTTCGGAATCTAGCAACACATCTTTATCTTCCAGGGGTATCTCTACTGTTTTCATTTTATTCTCTTTTAGTTTTAAATTCCTCTGAAATATATTATGATATACCTAGTTTTACTTTTCAGAACTAAAATTTCTTTCTGAAGAAAATAATAACATTGAGTTGTAAATCTGATTTAAAAAAATTAGCAATCAAACTATCTGGAATACTTTTTCTGCATAGACTAGAAGGGGTTTTCAGATCTAACGAAACTATCTCATGTTCTTTTTCTTTTTCACTCCGGAATGATGATAGTGGTATAATTGTATGATAGTGATAAAATTATATGTGTATGTGATCATGATTATAAATACTATTTTAAAAGGTTTAAGATTTAAAAATCATAGCACTGATCTTGGCATGCTTCATTGGTCCTTTTAAAAAAAAAAATGAGAGAGGGACTACACTATAGAGTGTGTGCGCTCGTCAGAGCGACACAGAGAGACAGAAAGTGAGAAATTAATCCCCAAGGAGATTGGCACACTGCAGTCCCTTCTCTTCCATTCTCGGATATGCACACATTTGGATATGCACACATACACACCTGGCATGAGTTTTAAGCTGCCGGGTCTCGGACTTAAACTGCAGTCCATCAACATAACCCTTATGCCATCTGCTGGTCCCAGTTAGTCTTTTCTTAATATATTTTGAATTGACCTATGTTACAGTTAGAATTTTAGATAATTATCTTTGGAGTCATGTTTAGTGTGTATTCAGGTAGTAACTGCTGACCATGCAGTAGAATAATACCATGAGTACTGATCTGGTACTGGATGGGGGCTGTATGTATGAGAAACTTTTTTCATACTGAGTCAAATACATGATTCATCAAGTTGTTTTCCTTTCAAAAAAAGATATGGTACTAAATACACATATTTTTTCAAACAGCTTTTTTATAGGGTTACTGATGAAAATGCCAAAAATAGTGAACTTCACCTTGTGGGTATGATCTGCTACACCAGTCGACATTATTGTGCCTTTGCTTTTCATACCAAGAGTTCCAAATGGGTATTTTTTGATGATGCAAATGTGAAAGAAGTAAGTGACACTTTGTGTGTTTCTTTTTTTTTTTTAAGTTAACATGTTAAATGATATTCTTTTCTTATATACTATTGCTAATGACTTCAGGGATTTTACTTCTGCTTTTTTTTTAGATTGAATCTTTTTTTTAAGAGAGATTTTTGCTATAGGGCTTGTGTGCATGCTAGAGAGACAGACAGAAAGTGACAAATCTTCCCCTCCCCGGTAGTGATGGCCATGCCACAATCTCTTCTCCTCCATTCTCTTCTCTGGATTTTGGGTATGCACGTACACAGGCCCAGTGTGAGTTTTAAGCAGCCAGGTCTAGGACTTGAACTGCAGTCAACGCTATGGGAGTCAATGACGTACATAACCACTATACCGTCTGCTGGTTCCAGACTCAATTTCTATTTTAATAAATTCACAAAAATACCAGAGAATAGTTTGATTTAAAATAAACTTGTTTAAACAATTGTAGATACTTGGTAGAAGTAAATTTCTGATATAGTGAAGAAATTTCAGATAAATATTAAGATTGTTATGGTGTAATACAAACTATATGAGGCTTTGTCTGTGGAGTATGTTCTTATAATTTCAAAAGTTGCCTTTTGTTTTTCTTCTGTAGAGCAACTGTGGCCAAAAAATAAAAATTCGCCGTGTTTTAATGAATTGCCCAGAGATTGTTACAATTGGTTTGGTCTGGGATTCTGAGCATTCTGACTTGACCGAAGATGTCGTTCGGAATCTAGCAACACATCTTTATCTTCCAGGGGTATCTCTACTGTTTTCATTTTATTCTCTTTTAGTTTTAAATTCCTCTGAAATATATTATGATATACCTAGTTTTACTTTTCAGAACTAAAATTTCTTTCTGAAGAAAATAATAACATTGAGTTGTAAATCTGATTTAAAAAAATTAGCAATCAAACTATCTGGAATACTTTTTCTGCATAGACTAGAAGGGGTTTTCAGATCTAACGAAACTATCTCATGTTCTTTTTCTTTTTCACTCCGGAATGATGATAGTGGTATAATTGTATGATAGTGATAAAATTATATGTGTATGTGATCATGATTATAAATACTATTTTAAAAGGTTTAAGATTTAAAAATCATAGCACTGATCTTGGCATGCTTCATTGGTCCTTTTAAAAAAAAAAATGAGAGAGGGACTACACTATAGAGTGTGTGCGCTCGTCAGAGCGACACAGAGAGACAGAAAGTGAGAAATTAATCCCCAAGGAGACTGGCACACTGAAGTCCCTTCTCTTCCATTCTCGGATATGCACACTTTTGGATATGTACACATACACACCTGGCATGAGTTTTAAGCTGCCGGGTCTCGGACTTAAACTGCAGTCCATCAACATAACCCTTATGCCATCTGCTGGTCCCAGTTAGTCTTTTCTTAATATATTTTGAATTGACCTATGTTACAGTTAGAATTTTAGATAATTATCTTTGGAGTCATGTTTAGTGTGTATTCAGGTAGTAACTGCTGACCATGCAGTAGAATAATACCATGAGTACTGATCTGGTACTGGATGGGGGCTGTATGTATGAGAAACTTTTTTCATACTGAGTCAAATACATGATTCATCAAGTTGTTTTCCTTTCAAAAAAAGATATGGTACTAAATACACATATTTTTTCAAACAGCTTTTTTATAGGGTTACTGATGAAAATGCCAAAAATAGTGAACTTCACCTTGTGGGTATGATCTGCTACACCAGTCGACATTATTGTGCCTTTGCTTTTCATACCAAGAGTTCCAAATGGGTATTTTTTGATGATGCAAATGTGAAAGAAGTAAGTGACACTTTCACTAACTGAAATAATTACAATTTTTGCTTTTTAGTAATAAATGATATAGTAATAATGGTATACAAAATAATGTTATAATTGCCATGTAAAATAATAATGAACATAATGATAATAACACCATTAAAGAAATTCAGACTTTTATTATTCTTGAAATTTGGCTTCAAGGGAACCAGCAGTTAGCATAATGACTATGTCGCTGAACTACCATGTAGTCGACCGCGATTCGCGTCCCGGACCCGGTGGCTTAAAACTCATGCTGGGCGTGTGTGTGTGCGTGCCCAAGATCCCGAGAGGAGAATGGAGGAGAAGGGATTGCGGTGTGGCCATCTCCTCTAGGGGGTGATTTCTCGCTTTTTGTCTCTATGTCTCTCTCCGTCTGTCTGGCGAGCGCACGCACCCTATAGTGAAAAAAACCTCTCCAAAAAAAAAGTAAAAACAACAAAAAAAGAAATTTAGCTTCAATTTAAGCTAACTTTGTAAAAAGAATTACTTATTCCATTTTATTTACTAATATTATTTTTTAAATTTTACCAGAGAGAGAGAGAGAGAAAGAAAGAGAGAGAGAGAGAGAAAGAAAGAGAGAAAGCAAGCTGCCAGGTCTAGGACTCAAATCATGGTCAGCCATGTGGGAATCTAGTGTCTTAACCACTATGCCACCTACCAGACCCCTAAAGCTAATTTTTAAACCAGCCCATTTCCAGAATAATAAAAAATTGACTAGTGAATATCAGTATACAAGTATGTAACTATTAGTAATCTGTAATTAATGATAAATTAATTTTAATTAATTTTGTTTGATACATAGTTAATATATGTATTTCTTTGTTGATGACTCACAATTGCTTTGTATTATTAGTGATGAAGATATGCTTCCTTTGTTTCTAATGGTACATTGATCTTATTAATAAGTTGTAGGAATTCTTTATTCTGCATACCATTATTAGATGCATGTTATTATTTTTTTAAAGAATTTAACTTTATTTCTTTGTATTTTCATTTGACGAGAGAGAGAGAGTGCGCTAGTAAAGAAAGAGAGAGGGAAAGTGAGAAAGCAAGCCGCCAGGTCTGGGGCTCAAACCATGGTCAGCCATGTGGGAGTCCAGCATCCTTAACCACCACGCCACCTAGCAGCCCTTAGATAATAAAATAATATTTATTATTTTAAAAAATTTTTTATTGGTGTCTTTGCAAGAGCAGAAGTTATTAATTTTGTTGAGGTCTATTTTATAAATTTTGTTTTTTCTATAGTTTGTTTGATATCCTAAGAGATCTCTGTCTTCCCCAAGGTTATAATGATTTCCCCTTTTGTTTTCTCATAAATGTTTTTGGTTATTATGCGATTCATTCTGAATTAATTTTTGTGATTTATTGGTCACAGTCTTTTTTCTTTTATGTTTTATCCAGTTGGTCTAGCACAATTGATAAAACAGACTCTTTCATATCCTTGTATCAAATTGCATTGAACTCTGTCAGAAGTAACCAACCATATGTAGAAAGCCTTTTAAAATCTGATAATTGAATCTTGATATAGAAAGTCTAACTTTTGCCCCTGGGTTTATTTTTTTAATTCTTTATTTTAATTATTTATTTATTTGACCAGAGATGGAGAGAGGGAAAGTTAAAGAGCAAGCTGTCAGGTCTGGGACTCAAACTGTGGTCAGCCATGTGAGAGTCCAGCACTTTAACCACAATGCCACCTGCTGACCCACTCCCTAGTTTTTAAAATGATGTTTAAGAGGTTTCAATTTAGACTAGTTACAAATAAAATTAATTATAATATGATAGTTGAACTCTAGCATCTAAATGTCTTTACATTTTTTTAAACAATTGTTTATTATTGTTATTTTTTAATTTGCTATTGGGCATGTGTGCTCACCAGAGAGAGAGAAAAACAGAGAAAGTGAGAAAGCCAGCTGCTAAGTCTAGGACTCAAACCACAGTTGGCCATATGGGAGTCCAGTGCCTTAGTAGTCACGCCACCTACTGGCCCCTAAATTTTTTTAATTACAAATTATTTTAGTCTCTGCCTTCTCATGGAATGCACTAATTACAAGTATCGTTTTGTTTTATTCATGTGACTTTTAAAAAGGTTGGAACCAGGTGGAAAGATGTGGTCTCCAAGTGCATCCGATGTCACTTCCAACCACTGCTTTTGTTTTATGCAAACCCAGAGGGCACCGCAGTTTCTACCGAAGATGCCCTCAGGCAGGTTGTCAGCTGGTCCCATTACAAATCGGTTGCAGAAAATTTGGGTAATGATTTTTTAATTCTTCAGTGTTTCTGTTATCACAATCAACTAAACACAGTAATGTCTATCTTGTACTGAATATAACATGAGTATTGAGGATCGCTGCAAAATTGAGGTTCAGTAAAGTGCAGTTTGGGAAAATTCTAGTACTTTTTATTAATCTTTAGGAAGAAATTATTACTGTCGGTGGCCTGGGAGAACCTTCAGGAGTCAGCCACTATTATGGTCACCCCAGCACAGAACAGGCTCCTTGGCTGGGAGCTCTTTCTAGTGTAAATCTTGAGATTTAAAGTGACTTGGAAAAACTGGAAATGTCCACAGCAGCTAAGCCATTTCTGGCATGTACAAATCCCTGGGGCTGTCAGGCCTCTAAGTTCTAAGTAGCTCTGCCTGCAGTATGAAAAATGTCGGAAAAGATGATTCACCCACTCTTCTCCTGATGGGTAGGACGGGAATGATACATTTTGTGTATTTTTTTAAGGATGTGAAAAGCCCACACTTCATAAGTCAGATAATTCAAAAGAAAATGGATTTGGTGATCAGGCAAAACAGAGAGAAAATCAGAACTTTCAAGCTGATAACATTTCATCATTTAATCGGAGCCACATTCAGACAAGCGGAGGGAGAGGACCAGGTGTGTGCTCAAATTGTCGTTCTTGCGTTGTCCTTGAGCGGGTAAGCTTCCCCCTTACTCACTTCCTGGTGAGAAGTAAAATCTAATTCCTGGTGAGAACAGGACAGAAGGAAGGTGCTTAACTATTGTAGTTTTCCCTGATTGTGAAATAAGTAGATAATAAAGAGATAACAAGTTTGTCTTTGTATTTTATGCATTTTTCTGAGACCTGCCCAGTTTAACTAAGTGAGTTGGAATCTTTCTGTGTGCTCAGAGTATGGTAGGTTTGAGACAGTCTGGACAGTTACCAAAGAAAGCAGTCTTAGATGGCTTCTCCTTCAAGGAGTTCATGATCGATGTGGAGAAGACAGACATGAATTCATAATTAGGCTAATATGTCAAAATTAAACTTACCCTTAGTGAATGCAACAGTAGTTCAAAGTTACATATATAACTGTAGTTTTGTTTTATTTTCCTATAGGACATGTGCACTTGCAGGAGAGAGGGGGTGGGGTGGGTGGAGAGTGAAGAATCAGCTCCCAGGAGGATGGCCATGCCACAGTCCTTTTTCTTCCATTCTCTCAGGATTTGGGGCACACATGCTCTAACATGCTTTTCAAGTCACTGGGTCTGGACTCCAAGAACCGCATAGCTGGATTTGTGGGATCCAGAAGCCTTAACCTCCATGCCATCTGTTGGCCCATGGTCTCTTTTTAAATCAGTTTTCTCTGTGGGAGAGAGACAGACAGACAGTCCCAACAGGGTCTTCACACGGCTGTCCACTCTCAGTCTCAGCTGGCCCAGATCACGAGCATGTACGTGTGTGTCAGTGTGCTCAGGAAGGTTCCAGGGTGAGAACCCAGACCCTTCCATGTGGACACAGTCGCATTACTGCCACACCACCACATGGCCCCCTGTTGTTTTTCTTAACCTTGCCTTTATTCAATTTTCTGTTGTTATTTGTGCTGTGGCTTTAATTTTACAAGCCAGGTTCTGTGACTTGGATCCAAAATGAGATCGCACAGTACTGTGTATGGCTGTGATTTAGAGATGTATAAAACTTCTAGTTATGTGGATGTTCAGGATGTTTTTGTAAGAAATTCAGAAATATGTCCATGAACTAATTTCTAACCATAAAAGAAACACATTTAATCCAGAGTAGTAAGACCTAGAAGGATCAGCAGGTGGCTGAATGGTTACATTGCTGAACTCCCACGTAGTTGACAGCAGTTCAAGTCCCAGACACATCACCTTAAAACTCATGACTGGTGCATGTGCGCCCAAGATCCTGAAAGAAGAATGAAAGAAAGAGGATTGCAGCATGGCCATCCCCGCTTGGGGGTGATTTCTCACTTTCTGTCTCTCCGTCTCTCTCCTCTCTCTAGTGAGCACACACGCCCTATAACAAAAATCTCTCCTTAAAAAAAAAAAAAAAGAGTAGTAAGACCTAGAAATAGCAATGATCAACTATAATAAAGGCTTTTAAACATTTTTAAGGAAACTATTGGGTTTTCAGAAAAGTCATGATTCGTTTTTACATAGAAAAACAGAAAAAATGCATCACAATTTTCCCAACAACCCAATACAAGAGGACTTTAAAAAGTTTGTGGCATTTATCTTGGTGCAAAAATTTTGAAATCCATGCATAGTTCTCTCAGAATATACATTTCCATGAACTTTGCGAAGACCCCTTCATGTTTGTTTGTTTTTTTTTTTTCCTTCTCATTGGTTGTTGATTCTCTTAGATTAAGACATTTTATGTTTCTCAGAAGACACCAACTTTAAAGCCCAGAAACAGTCTATATGTGTTCAAGAGCACAAGCATTTAACCAGCTTGAGTTCCTATTCCCAGGTCTATACTTCATGCTGTATGAACTTGGGCAAGTTTCTGATTTGCCTCTGCCTCAGTTTTCTTACATGAGAGGGAGGCAGTAATTATACCTACAGTAGAGAATCCAATGAGCAGACCCCTACCTAGAAGAGAGTCGGCAATGAGTGACCACTTAGTGACCTTTAGCGCTTATTATTTGAATGGTAGGTCTCTTTGTTTTTCTTTATATTCACTCTACGGCTGTTCAATAAGTGTTAAAAGACAATATGTATCTCCAGTGTTAGGAAAAATCGTATTGAATTTTAGATCAGTCATAAAAATGAGTTTATTACATACGTCAGTCTGTGGTCTGTTTTTAAGATACAGCATCTTACAATTTTTATATAGTTCAGTTCTTTGCTTTTGTTGAGCAATTTAAAAAAATGATCCGTATCATTTTAAGAATGATTTCTTTTGCAGTTAAGTCAAGTCACAGTGATCAAAGGGAAAAGATGAAAGACATTTCCAGAGAATGTGCTCTGAAAGCCATTGAACAGAAAAACTTACTTTCTTCACAAAGGAAAGATTTAGAGAAGGGACAGAGAAAAGATTTGGGCCGACATAGCGGTAAGTTCAGAGCATATAGCATTCATTTAGAGACCATTTAAAAATTTTTAAAAAACTGGATTTTATAACGTTAGTATGATTTAATTTCTATATACTCATAATTTCTCTGTATATATATTTCTTAGTATGATTTCTTTAGTACACCTAAATAAATCTAAACACATGAAATTTTCCTTATTAAATTAATTCTGGCCTAAGGATACTAGTGTTTGTGTTTTGATGGTTTTATTTATAAATGCAACTTATATTACACATTTAAATAAGGAAGGTTATAAAATTAACTGAAAAGGGCTTATACCTTTGCAATCTCAGATCTTCCTTACATTCATTGCCAATAGTTTCCAGTTTAATGTAAGCTTTTTATGGTTTTATACTTCTTTTCTTTATAGATACAGCATAATCTCATTGATACTGATAGACTTTAAAGATAGAGTTAAGGTTTTGGCTACAGTGACATCCTTTCACATACCTTTGTTTGTTTTTTATTTTTTTAAAAGATTATTTTATCTAACTTTATTTATTCATTTATTTTTTTAAATTTGACCAGAGAGGGACAGACCAAGAGAAAGACCGAGAGAGAGAGAGAGAGAGAGAAAGTGAGAAAGCAAGCCACCAGGTCCAGGACTTGAACCGCTATTGGCCATGTGAGAGTCCAGCGCCCTTGACAACCACGCCTCCTGCCGGCCCTCCTTTGTTTATTTTTTATGTATAGCCATAGCATAAATTTTTTTTTCAGAGGAATTTCTGGTTCAGGGTATGGTTGATTTTTTTTTTTTCTGTTTTTATTTTTTTTTAACTGCCAGAGAGTACATGCACTCACCAGAGAGAGAACAGAGAGCGAGAAAGCAACCCCCAAGGGCACATGTTCACATTGCAGATCCTTCTCTTTCTTTCTCTCCCAGGATTTTGAGCATCCATGCACATGTGCCCAGTGTGTTTTTCCATCCACTGGGGCTGGGATTCAAACCAGAGGGTTGGCCATGTGGGATCTGAGTCCCCTAACCACTGTGCCTATGGGCCTGACCCAGGGTATTTTAGTTATTTTTAATTTTGGCAGATATGGTTCAGTTGCCCTCCTGAAAGGAAGAACTAGTCTGTACTCCCCCAGCAGTGATTGGATCTCTCTCTTTGCACTCTCAGCAGCAGTCCATTGAACAACCCTGTAAATCTTTACCTATGTAAGAGGTGGAAGATATTTTACTTTTATAATTTTTGTTAATTATAAGTGAGATAGAATGCTCATTATTTATTTGTTTTTGTTTATTTGTTTGTTTTCCCTATAAGACACGTGCTCACTGGCGAGTAATAGACAGAGGCAGTGAGGGGGAAAAAGAGAAATCTGCCCGTTGGTAGGATGGTCATATACCAATCCCTTTTCCTCCATTCTCCTCCGGGCATTTTGGGCATGCATGCACACATACCTGGCAGGATTTTCAGGCTGCTAGGTCTGAGACTTGAACTGTGGTTGACTATGTGGGAGTCCAGCACCTTAACCACCATACCCCTGCTGCCCCCTTTAAAAAAAAAAACAAAAAAACAATAACAACAAAAAAAGAACTCCTTAATGGTCTTATGATTTATCTTATAAATCATTTTTTAAAGTCTGTTTCTTTTAGATGTTTCTCTTTAAACATGAATAAGAACTGGAAAATACTTTTTAATCTAAAGCAGTGAGTGATAGAATGTACTTAAATGCCTATCATTCTGCACATGCATGGAGATTGAAAACACACTTTTTAATCTTGAAGCAATAAGTGATATAATTTACTTATGATATTATTTGCCTTTTACTGATATTTCTTCTCAAATAAGGTATGTGTTGACTTGTGTGACTAAAGGCGGCTCTGAGGAGTAGTTCATTTGGGTATTTATTTTTTTTTTTAAGATTTGACTGATGAAGACCTTTCACATTTCAAGTCTGGATCACCTCCTGCCCCAAATGGTTTTCGCCAATATCCGAATCCACGTCTATATCATAGTCAAGGAAAAGGACCATGCAAACATGACCGAGTTGCCCATCAGAGTCGAGCTCCCGCTCAAATAATAAGTTCAAGTAAATCCCAGATTCTCGCTCCAAGAGAGAAAATGACTGGCAGAGTAAAGAGTGACAGTGGCACTGGGTATGATACAGACAGCAGCCAGGACTCCAGGGAAAAGGGAGGCAGTGGTACTAGCAGCAGTAGAAGCCGGAGCCGAGGTTGGAAACCTATGAGAGAAACGTTGAACGTCGATAGTATTTTTAGTGAAAGTGAAAAAAGGCAGCACAGCCCCCGACATAAATCGGATATCAGCAACAAGCCCAAGTGTGGCAAAGATCAGAGTTTTAATAACTGGTCAAAAGAGAATCCAAAGCAACGAGGCTTAATGACCATATACGAAGATGAACTGAAGCAGGAAGTAGGAAGCAGGAGTTCCCTTGACTCGAATGGAAAAGGAACAGAGAAGAATAAAGGCCTTGTGGAGAGCAGAGGTCATGGCGAGAGCGGGCCGATGCAGAGGACGGAGTCCGGGTATGAAAGCAGTGATCACATCAGCAATGGATCTGCTAATTTGGACTCGCCTGTGATCGAAGGAAATGGGACGGTAGTGGATGCCAGCGGTGCTAATGAAACAGTTCCCTTCAGGTGATTCACAAAACGAACACACAGGTTTTCTCACCTTCAATTATTGGTGACTTGAAGTAATTTTCAAAGTTTGGAGTGAATTAAGTATAATGGAAATGGCGTGAATAGTAAATATACCTGGAATATTGCAATGTAGTTGCTATTTCAGATTTCTGTTCTTAATACTTATTTCCTGATTCTAAGACTATCAGTTGTATATTGGGTCGTGGGGAAAGTCCGTATACATTTTTGCATAGAAAAACATAGAAAAAATACAGCGTGACTTTCCCGATGACCTAATTGTTTGTAGGAAATATATTATGACTCTCGTTGCCATAACTATCAACTACACATTTTAAAACATAGACTTAAATTGGTTTTATTTTATCTCAGTTGTTAAGCTGATCGCTTAATTCTTTTTTTTTTTTTCAATTTATTTATTTGCATTCATTCACTGTACATCCTTATAGCATACAAAATGAGATTTTTCCATCCAGAGTATACTGTATATTGTCTCAATTGAGCACATCAACAAACATGTTATTGTCAGCAAATGATCTTCCATTTCTTGTTTTCTGTATGTTTTGCTTCTTTCCCCCATCCTTGGTTCCCTATCTCTTACCCTCTGCCACCTCCCGCTCTCCTCCCACACTGTCTCTGGTATCTATGTTTGCTTTCTATATTAATCCTTCAGTTTATGAACTGCTCCTGATTTTTTTAGAGAGAGTTTTTGCTATAGGGCATGTGCGCTCGCCAGGTAGACGGAGAGAGAGAAAGTGAGAAATCACCCCCCAAGGGGGATGGCCATGCCACAGTCCCTTCTCTTCCATTTTCCTCTTTGGATTTTGGGCACGTAGGCATGCACACAGGCCTGGTGTGATGTTTAAGCCACTAGTTCCAGGACTTAAACTGCACTTGGCTAGGTGGGAGTCCAGCGACATAACCATTACACCATGTCCTGGTCCCACTGCTCCTGATTTTAACTCTGACATTTGTAACTCAAAACTGAGGTTGTCTTCTATGGCATGATGCAGTTCCATGGAAGTGATACTTTCCCTTGAGCAAATATAAGAGAATTCAGCGAAATAACTAAGTATCTATTCATGTAATTAGTTCAGGATATTGATACCTTTATTATGCTACTGTTAATAGACAATCCCCCCTTTTTCTGTGTACCAAAACATGGCACAGCTGTGTCTGATTTTCTAAGTCAATCTAACCACTTTTTCCAGAGATTTTTTGCTATAGGGTATGTACACTTGCCAGAAAGACAGAGAGACAGAAAGTAAGAAATCACTCTTGGCATGGGGTGGCCATGCCATAGTCCTTTCTCTTCCATTCTCCTCTCAGGATTTTGGGCATGCATGCACATGTCCCTAGCGTGAGTTTTAAGCCATCAAGTTTGGGACTCAAACCGCAGTCGACTAATGGGTGTCCAGCCAGTCCCACACTTTTTCAACTTTTATTTCTTCTAAAACATTTTAATTTGATATTAGTGTTTGATTATATTTGTTATTAAAAAGCTAGATTTGCAGAAATCAGCTACTCATATTTTATCGAAACAAGGTTTCAGTAGAAACTAAGTAAAATTTTGTACGTGGCAAGGTAATTTCATAACATTTCTTAGAAAGCAGGAAGTTTAGGACTTTGTAATCTGCTGGACTTGGATTTTAATTATCAAACAAATTGATTTGATGTTTACAGTCTTAATCTCCTATGAAATGAGGATAATAACTCCTTGAAAGTACTGTGGGATATAAATAAAATAATACTCATTAAGCCTCTTGAACTGCACATGGCATATAGTAATTGTTTAACCAAAGTTATTTCCTTTCTTCTTCTTAGAATAAGCTATGAAAATTCATAACAATTGATGTATTTTGTTTTATATTCTAGTGAGCAGATTAAGATGAGTAACCTAAATGTAGAACATGTGGATTGTACCTCTCATCAGTGCAGAAACCATTCTGAAGGTAAAATTTTCATTTCACTATATTGTTAATAGTTATACTAAAGAATACATTGCACTAATTGTTTACTATTAGGACATAGGTATGAGAAAATCCTATAGGGCTGTAAAAGTTATTTTAAAAGAACATAACAATATAGTAAACTTTTAAAATATTAATACGTATGTCACATTTTAATAAAATATACATAGAAGAAAAGAAAACATTCTTTTGTTATCTATGCCTGCTATATTTTCTCATTTGTTTTACTTAGTTATATTAGTTTCGTATTTTTCTATCTGATTAGTTAAGTATTGCTTTCAAATTCTGCAGTCTTTTTGAACAGCCTTTTTGAAATGCTTTTTAAATATCTTTGATGTTACGGCATTACTAGTACCACATGACATTTTCTATTTAGCCAATGAAATCTTTGGTTTTTTGTTTTGTGTGTGTGTGAGAGAGAGAGAGGAAAAGGAAAAGAGAGAGAAGTACTTTTGCAGGAACATCTTGTGTTATAATTCTCCAGCCCTGGACTCTCAGTGAACTAGGCCCACAGGTGTGTGCCACCACACCTCCACACCTGTCCTGTTTTAGGTTTGGTTGGGAACTGCATCTGGGAGTACCATATAGCTTCAGACACTGCTCAGTGGTGCTCACCTGCTAGTACCACCCTGATTGGGCCAATGATGACATCTTCGAATCTTTATTTTTTTCTTGTAACAACTTGCATTTTAAGTTTCTGCACTAGGGACCCTTGAACACGTTGCATTTGATACTAGCCCTTACAATGTGATTCGGGATTCAAGTCGGCAGTATGGTGGCTTATTAATACTTCTAGTTAAGGGAACCAGCAGTTAGCATAATGGCTATGTCGCTGGACTCCCACGTAGTCGACCGCGGTTTGCGTCCTGGACCCGGTGGCTTGGAACTCACGCCGGGCACGTGTGCGTGCGTGCCCAAGATCCCGAGAGGAGAATGAAGGAGAAGGGATTGCGGCGTGACCATCCCCCCGGGGGGGTGATTTCTCGCTTTCTGTCTCTATGTCTCTCTCTGTCTGGCTGGCGAGCGCATGCGCCCTATAGTGAAAACCTCTCCAAAAAAAAAAAATACTTCTAGTTAAGATACACACTGTATATCCCCACTCACAAAAAATTTAAGTATTTGGAGTAATTAGCTTAACTAAATTTTGGTAGATCCAAACAGTAGACTACTTGTTTGGCCTTTATAGATAATGATGTCGATGAGTATTTGTTGGTATGGAAATATATTTAAAAAAAGCATATTTGCAATCTAATATCTTTTTGTGAAAAGGAAAAAAATTTAAAAAGTACATGTGACTATAAAAAGAAATATTTTTGGGAATCAGCAGTTAGCATAATGGCTATGTCGCTGGACTCCCACGTAGTCGACCGCGGTTCGCGTCCCGGACCCGGTGGCTTAAAACTCACGCCGGGCACGTGTGCGTGCGTGCCCAAGATCCCAAGAGAATGGAGGAGAAGGGATTGCCGTGTGACCATCCCCTCTGGGGGGTGATTTCTCTCTTTCTGTCTCTATGTCTGTCTGGCGAGTGCACACGCCCTATAGCGAAAACCTCTCAAAAAAAGAAAAAAGAAATATTTCTAACTTAAGAGAAGGTGCATTTCTGAATTTGCAGAGAAAAAGGTCATCATCTCATAATTCAGTGGTCTGTAGGTGATTGATCTTTCTGGCTTTACTTGTCCGCCCCTTTGTCCCATTTTTTAAAATAATGGACATACAAGATAGGCACAAAAGGAGGATGGTCAATTTTTCTCTGAGGTAAGAGTAAAGAAGATAAGAATGGTCCTATTACTGATAAATTTATGAGTGATAAGGAGGGAAGTTGAGGGAGTTCATGCTAGGAATGGGAATAGCCACTTTATGCAGTGAGGAAAGGGGCAATTCTATCATTTGAGACAGGCTAAATTCTATGTTATTCAATGATGGTAACTTCAAAATCTCAATGTTTTAACACAAGTCCGTTTCTCGCTCTCAGTATGGGTCTAGTGGAGGTCAGTGTGGAGACTCCTTCCAGGACTCACCCAGGATCAGGATAATGGGGTGGAGAATTAATGAAGGCGACAACATGGACAGTCACCTCTAAGCTCTTAAAACTTTGAACAGCTGTGACACATGTACTTCCACACACTCCTCATTGTCCAAGGCCAAGACCAGTCCTAATTTTAAGGAACATGGAAAAGTGTTTTATAGGTGCCTGGAAATGAATTCAAGTATGTGTGAACAGCCCTCTAGAAAAGTTCAGTTAGGAGCCAATAAATATATAATGGTGTGACATTATTATAGGTGACTTGTTATCCACACTTAGCAGCCCAGACGCAAAGAAAATGGGATATTAGAATGCATATAGTAGTCAAGATTGCCACTGGGAGGACATTAAGTACCTGAAGGATTTAAGGGAGAGGGGCCAGGGAAAACAATGAGAAAGGGAATTGTTGAAATTGCAAAGACAGTGTTTTCAAATTTCAGAATTCAGAGGAATAGAAGAGAGATAATTTTTTATAATAAAAAATAGCGATGAACAACAAATTTTGAAGTTTTTTAAGTCTTATTATCCTTAAGGCTTTTGTGAAGATTATTTTTTAGGTCATAGGCACTAAATTTGATTAAGTGTTACATTTTGTTTTCATCCAATAGTGTAATATCAGAAGGAAACACTTATATTGAGGAAATAACCTTCCTTTCCCATATTAAAATGTCTAGCCTGTTTTAACAGTCTGATAAAAGTCCGGTAACCAAGTATTACAGGAAACAGTAAAAGGCTGGCCAGAAATCACAGCAGAAGTCAGTGAAATTGAACAATAACTGCAAGTTCAGTGCTCTGTACAAAGTGATGCTTACTTCCTGAGCATTATAAAAACATGAGTTCATAGAAATCTGGTCAAGGGTGCATTGCTATAAGAGCTTTGCAGTGGGTTTCCTCATTTTTACTATGAAAAAATATGTATGTAACACACAACTTTTTTTATTGTAATAAATTAGTCTTAACAAAATATATCATTCTAATTTTTTTTTTTTTGAGGTTATTTGCTATAGGGCACATGGGCTCCCCAGAGAGACAGAGAGAGACAGAAAGTAAGAAATCACTCCCAGGGGGATGACCATGCCACAATCCTTTCTCCATTCTCCTCTTGGGATTTTGGGCATGCACACACATGATCCCAGCATGAGTTGAAGCTGCCAGGTCTGCGACTCAAACTGCAGTCAACTACGTAGGAGTCCAGCAATGTAATCGTTATGCCATCCTGCTGGTCCCTCCTTCTAAATATTTTTAAGGTTACCGTTAAGTGGCACCGAGTTCATTCGCATTGTTGTGGAATCATCTCCGCCATACGTGTCCAGAACTTTCATCACATTAAACCGAAACAGTCTACTTACTATTATTTTTCTGGAGAGATTTTTGCTACAGGACACATGCACTCATTGGAGAGAGAGAGAGAAAGGAAGCGAGAAATCAACCCCCAGGGAGGATGACCATGCTACAGTCCCTTCTCCTCTGTTCTCTCGGGATTTGGGGCATGCATGTACATGTACCTGGCATGAGTTTTAGGCCGCCAGGTCTGGGACTCAAAACCATGGTTGACCATGTGGGAGTTCCATGCCTTAACCGCTAGGCCACCTGCTGGCACAATACTGTATGCTTATTAAACAATTCCCCATTCTCTCTTCCTCTGACTCCTGGCCAACAGCATTCTTTCTGTTTCTATGAATTTGAGTATTCTAGGTTAACTCATTTAGGTAAAGCCAGACAATATTTGTCCCTTTGTATCTGGCTTATTTCAGTTAGCATAATGACCACAATGTTCATCCATGTTGTAGCCTGGATCAGAACTTTATTCTTTTTTTAAGGCTGAATAATGATTCATTGTATGGTTTACCTCTTCTTTACCCATGCATCCATCAGTGGATATCTGGGTATTAGAACCTTCTGGCTCTTGTGAGTAATGCAGCTATGAACACTGGTGTGCAGACATCTGTTGGAGTCCCTGCTTTCATGTCTTTAGATATACCTGTAAGTGTAATTCTGTCTCCTGTGCTAGTTTGGTAATTCCCTGCTTAATTATCTGAGGAGGTGCCATACTGTTTTCCACAGCAGCCATACCATTTTACATTCCCACTAGCAATACACAAGACTTCCATTTTCTCCCCATCCTCACCAACACTTCTTATTTTGTTTGTTTGTTTGTTTTTTGGTTCCTTTTTTTTTCTTTGCTTCCTTTATGGAGGAGTATCTTGTGATTTTTGTGTAACTTTTTATTTAGCTACATAGATCTCACGATTTTTAAGTTATTTCTTATTTAATGAACTTTAAAATTCATACAGTTCTTTGAAGCCTATCTTTTCTCTTAAGAACCTCTGTTAATGTGCTTTGTGGTGTCTGTGTGTATATTCTCTTCTAAACTAGAACTGAGACTATGTGAAAAAGTGACAAAGGGATTATTTTTCTCAAACTAAAAACTTACCTTCTATGGGGTCTCTTTCCCCCCACCCAACCCCTTTAAGGCACAAGTTAATTTAATTCTTCAGGACTCCATACAACTTTCTTGTTCTTTTGTACTTTCATTTGTAAAATGGCACCCACTTAACATTATTGACCTATAGAATAATTTTCTTTCAGTAGCTAAAAGACTTAAAAAGTTAAGCCTTAGACCTTTTTTATTTTTTATATTTTTTGACATTTAGTTCAATTTTTAATATTTGTCTATAACAAGTATATTTGATGGTAGAGAATGAAAATCTATAATAATGCTATTGCAATTCTTTGTCTATTTTTCTCATTAAGGGAGATATTACATAGGCTTATCTGCCTTATCTGGGTTCTGCTATATAAAAAAAAAAAAAAAAAAAAAAAAAAAAAAACAGTTCTTAACATGACCTGAAGTTATTCTGTGGGAACACTATCCAAATTGCCACTTTGCTATTTGAAATGTTTTAGCTCTTTTAAAATGGATTTCTATTAGAATTTCAAGGGCCTTAAATTACATTTA